GGAAGACATTGTGGACTCGGGGCTAACATCTCTCATTAAAAGACGCCTCGGAAAATGAAGAAAGAAGATCTGTCTCGCGGTATAAAGAGATACATATATCCTGCAATTAATTTGAAATGCTATGCTATTAAATCGCCTCTGAGAAATCGCGTATAAAATACATTTGATTATTTTTTATATACCATGCGATACAAATTCTAATAATATAATAATGCACGCAAGGCTGCAACTTTCTTGACTTCCGTCGACGAACATGTGTCTCATAGGATGTTTTTTTTTTCGAAAAGGTGAGTTTCCAGATGCAAAAACCGGCTTGTCTTGTGGTATTTCAAACGCGACTTTTTCAGCGTTTAAACACCTCGAGAGCGCGTAAAATGTGATATTCAATGTGTATACGCACATGGCTGTTACAAAGTATAATATACCGGTATAGAATCGGTGTGTGCTTATATACTTTTCAATTTGCGTAACGCGGTGATTTTTGCGGGCGGTCGATAAAGCCGCCTCTTGCGCGGCCCGGTTAACTGTTCATTTGCATATCCCGTTTCTGCAACAGTTGTATCGAACGACGACCGTGCAATTTCGCGGTATGAATTTTCCATTAAACGTTGTCCGCCGCAAACGGCGTTTTTGTCGGCGTTTAATATCGTATCCGCGAAAGAGAAGGAAAGTGCGCGCGATAGTCCCGCGGCGAGATATTCGTAAAGGCCGGCAATGATACGCTCGGAAAAACGGGTCTTATACCGCGTACGCACCTGAGCATGTCGAAAGCAGGCGGAAAGTGACGTCCAACATCATCTTCGTCGTACGTAACACGGCTGCGGCTACGCGCGATATATCTGGAAAAATCGCCGGTCGCGTGATCGCGCTGTTACGGCGATCGCGAATTCGCATCGCGATTCTGAAATACACAGTCACGCTGCTTAATGTAATCGGAGGGGCAAAGCGGAGCGGTTGAAAACGAGAACGTTTTGCCGACATTGAATATGATGCAAATATTCGCGCGATTATTTCTTGAAAAAAATGTCATATATGTATATTCTTCAATTTTATATATATAATATAAAATATAATATTTTATTTATAATATTACAATATTATATTTAATTATAGAGAAATAAAATAAAATATTTTTTTATGTTTATAAATTTAAATACTTATCGAAAGAAATGATAAGATAGTTTAAGGATATTGCAATATACGGGCGCGAGATTTCGATACTTTTATAGTTTACCAACACATTGTGAAAGTTAGAATCTTAACAACGCTGATAACTATCGTGGTATATTTTTTTTATGACAATGTGAATGGATAAAAAATGGATTGTTGTAAGAAGTGTCAAAAGTGAACTTGCAAGTGCGAAAATTGTTTCTGGATAACTTTATTTATTCACATTTTTATTTTCTTTCAGAAAATATATTTTTAAAGTATCTTATTATTTCAGCACACAAAGTATCCGAACTTCCCTACGAGTCTATTTTTCTATCTTCTTTAAAGAGAGCAGATTATTTTTATCAAGCAAATTTACTTTTAAGCATTTATATTTTATGATCTGAAAATTAAAATAATAGCAATTTGTAAAATTAAGGTACTTAATCAGTGTTAATCTAGATTTATTGAATTATATTATTTTATATTAGCACGTCGATATTAGCGTGTCTAAATTAATATCTTAATTGCAGTATGAAAAACTGAAATTTTAATTTTAATATCTCAAGCTGCATAGTTGGAGTGATTTTAATCTTTTTAGATACACGAAAATTGTAAGTTACGATCACGGAATGTTGATATTTGGAAATTTCTCGATTCTCAGCCAAGACAACGGAAACGATATCTCGATTTCGTGATCTCTAGAATCTACTGTGAGACAATCCCACGGACTGATTTCTATAACTACATGTGTACAGTCAACCGTGCACGCGTGTCCATGTACCTAAATAAAGTGTACATCGTAGCCTAGATCGTACAGTGTTACAGGCATAATTATCCGCGCACGCAATACACGATTGTAGAAACCGTGATGGAAAGTCTACGTTCCGAAAATCGTTGAGATCCACATATCGCGTGTAAAACAAAATTCAAACGATTCGAAATGCATTCATAGTTAATTATCTCCATTAATTAAACATCATTAATTCTGAGATTTTAATTTTAGGAAAAAAGAACATGTGTTTTACGTGCATTTCTGCTTGTTTTATCTGCTATTAACATTTCTTAATAAGAGGCATAAATTAAAAAAGTAACAAATAATCATGTGATCAAAACGATTAATTAATCGAATAATAAAATTCTGATTTTTTAAAAAAGAGAAACTTCAATATACGGAGTGAAATCAGGACCAGATCAGATGATCGGAAAGATGATATGTCTAATATATCTTTACCTGTTCTTATTATTGTAATAATTACTTATATTAATTAAATTCCTTAAATTAAACAAAAATAGATAATATTTTCATTAATATTCCATTAATATAAATGTACATTGTCGACCATAAAAATATTACGCAACACGGATGAATACCGACAACACTTTTACTACTTAATTACAAGCGATGATGAGTAACCATAGAACCGCAAAACTTCATCGGAGAATGCAGGATATAAGCGAGGTCAGTTGCTGTTAGATTTTTCAATATTCCATCGAGGCAATCTCTGAAGTCCCTCCTCCCATTCGC